TTTTAGGGGCCCGCGGAAAGTATCAGGACATCGTCAGTGTTAAGTATTTACTTAAATTAGAGCCAGTAGGTGGCAGCAGTGCAACTCAGCTGCTGGTGAAGACCAAGAGAAGAAGAGAGGCTGCAGGTGGGAACAGGGTTTTCTTGGCAACACACACACACATACAAACATGCTGGGGCCGTCCATGGCTTAGTGGTAAGAGAGTTGGAATTATCATGCATGCTGGGGCCGTCCATGGCTTAGTGGCAAGAGGGTTGGGCTTATCATCAGAGGAGGTTCGAGTCCCGGCCCTTCTGAAACCAACAACTGCTGCCTAGGAGTCAGTGAATGGGTTAAAGGCAGAGGACACATTTCATCTGGTGTGTGTGTGTGTGTATGTATGCAGTGTCAACATTGTGTGTATACAATGTCACCACTGACAAGTGGTGTGTAAGCACAACGCTAACACACTGCTAACACACCACATTTCACTTCCTCACTGCTGACACGTGTTCATTTCTTATTTCCGTGTCATTTAATATTCTACTAAATGTTGCTCCTCTGCTTTAAGGAGGTTTTTTTTGCGGCAGTGTCTAAATATAGTATATCAGATCTCACTTCTGTCCCACTTCTGCTGGACCAGACTTTTCACCAAGGTCGTGAGAGTCACTAAAGAGTCAGAAAATAAAATATAAAACAATTGATCATCATATGTTTTTTTTCCTTCTAACTCATTAGACAGAGGTTCAAAGTTACAAACGAACAAACTAAAAGATCTTTCTGTCTCAGTTTTGACCGTTTCCAACAGTTTAGTCAGTGCGGTCTTTGATAAGTACTACATGCCCGAGTACTACATGTGTACTACGTAGCAGACACGTCCTCAGCCCGACTTCCTGCTCTTTCATCCAGACAGTGTTTGGCAGCAGGGACTGGTCGGACCACACGCTGCCAGACCACGGTCAGCTGCAGAATTCTAATGAGTTCTGCTGGTTACCTCCAGGGACTGAAGGAGAGGAGGAGCAGCATGGACACTCTCTGTTCTCTCTTAGACACAAGAACCCTAACTTGTTGGAAGATTGAGGTTCAGGAGGAAGAGTTAGTGAAAGTGATTTATTCGTCACTGCAGTGAGTAAAGGGCAGCTCGACTCCCCCCCACCACCGGGGGAGCACGTTTGGATCCTTGAAAAGTTAAAGAAAAATAACATTTTCATGGAAATATTGCGACTGACTTTTCAAAGAATTTCAGTCCAACTTGCACAAATTCTTGGCCCGTTGGAGAATTTTCCTCAGCACACTCCACCACCTGTCACCGCGCTCTAATCGGCAGTGATGTCTCATTGTGGACATGGAGACATCAGTGATGTCCATGATGAGACATTGTCTCAGCAGCACTGCCGATGGTCACTCAGCTGTTGCATCATCTCAGAGCAGGGGTGCCCAATAAGTAGATGGGTAGTCCACCAGTAGAGGGCGTAGGGTGTGCTGACACATCGTCAGCTGTAGTGTAAAGCCTGCTGAGTCACTTTGGCTCAGTTATGCTTCACGGTTCACTTCCTCCCACAGGAAGTGATGACATGCTTCCCAGTCCTAAGAAAATATTCTCAACCATCTGGGAATAATTCATGCCCTGGACAGATTTAGTGGCAAAAATCAAAACCACAAAGTCAAAGAAGAGGTCAAAGGTTAGGGTTAGGCTCCATTCATGCTGCAGCCCAATGGGCGTGATGGTATTGGCAACAAGTTTTTTTTAATAAATATAACCAGGCCTCTATCGGTATCAGTTATCGGAATCGGAAATTACGTTTTTGGACAATATCTGCAAAAAAGTTACTATTGGACCTCCCTAGTTTCCTCTCCTCTTCCTCCCCTCTTCCTCCCTCCTCCCCCTCTTTTTTGGCAGCATGAGAAATATCAAATTCAGTTTTAGCGGTGGTGGAGTTCAACAACACACCAGTGCCAACAGTGACATGAGCAGCAGCAGCAGCAGGCGGTGGAGGAGCGGAGGGGGAGGGTGGGGTGGGCGTCCTGCTGCTGAGGTCTGCTCCTCACATTCCTACATCACTTCCTGTTTGAACATCTGGCAGTGATCAGAGCGGGCTGTGGGGAAGTGTGTGAATGTGGACTGCTGCAGTTTGTTTCCAGTCACATGACGGCGTCTGTGACGTGAAGTCTGTGACATCAGTCAACAGACACCTCACTGCTCATCACAACAAGAAGTAAACAAACATGGCTGTCTGTGGGTGCGTCCTGACACACTCTTGGTCTTTCTCCAGGATGGCTCCGTGGTGTTCTGCTCTCAGTGGTTGATCGTCCGGCAGCTCCTGGAACAGAGGTCTGTACCAGAAGCAACTTCACTTCATGTTTTATGGAAGCACCATGGTTTCAGCTCAGCAGGTGGCGCTGTTTAAATGGATAAATACATTTTTTTGTCATTACAGGAGGGAGAGAAGAGCAGCAGCAGAGATGAGCGTCACCTCCTGGTTCCTGGTGAGCAGCGGAGGAACTCGCCACCGTCTGCCCCGGGAAATGATCTTTGTGGGTCGAGACGACTGTGAGCTCATGCTGCAGGTGAGGAGGAGAACAGAGAGTGGTCTGTTGACCCGAGGTGTGTGTGTCTGTGTGTGTGTGTGTGTGTGTCCTCCAGCCTGACCTGGTGAATCTCTGCTCACTGCTGTATTTATAGAAAGTGGGTCAGATGTTTCCAGACTGAGGTCGTGTGTGAAGTCACCGTCAGCAGTGAGAAGATGCATCAATGTCCAGATCAGACTTCACTCATCAACAGTTTAACCTTGTACATGTCTCACATTCCAAATGTCAGACTTGGTCTCAAGGCTGAATATTTAGAGAAACAAAACACAAATTCCTACAAATCTGTTTCACATTGCTTTCATGAAGCTGTTAGCGGAGGCCCCGCCCTGGGAGGGTCACATGATGTCACTGATCACACTGAAGTAACAACACAGGCAACAGAGGGACACTGCTGACTGTAGATGAGCCCCCAAGAGGGGGGGCGTGAGGGGGGGACAAGGAGTCAGAGAGAGAGAGAGAGAGGACAGCAGTGATCTTCATAGAGAGAGAGAGAGAGAGAGAGGACAGCAGTTATTTTCATGTTTCTGTGTTGACTGTGTATAGTTTACAGTATATATATATATTTATATATATATATATATACTGTAAACTATACATAGTCATCTCGTATATAAGTATGTGTGTGTGCGTCTGTGTGTAGTATTGCATTTGCGGTGTTCTTTTACAGCCCAATGAAACATAATGTAGACCAGGGGTGTCTAACATACGGCCCGCGGGCCAAAACCCGACCCGTACTTGGTCCAATCCAATCTGCAGGAAAACAAAGAAAACAAACAGGCGAAAACATTGGACTTGTTGTTATTTCTAGTTAATTATGTTATGATTGTACTGGTCCGGCCCACGCCCCTGGTTTAGACGCTGGTCCACTTCATTAACACTCAGTCGTTTCTGTTGGATCTGTGTGTCAACAATGGAACACAATGAATGGTTGTCTCTGTGCTGTGTTGTGTTGTGTTCCAGTCCCGCAGTGTGGATAAACAGCACGCAGTGATCAACTATGAAGCAGGGACTGATGAGCACAAGGTGAAGGATCTGGGCAGCCTGAACGGGGTGAGTGGACACAGTCAGAGAGGAGACACGAAAGTACAACAAGAAATGAGATTTTATCATCGTGAAGATATCAGAAAGAAAAAAGGTTTAGATCAGAGTCTGTGATTTCAGCAGCCTCCCTCCTCCCTCCTCCTTCCTTCCTTTTCCTCCTTCAGCAGCTGTGAGTCACATGACACTGATTATTAGAATTATATCTGTGTTTTGTTTTTTTACATGACACTGATTATTAGAATTATATCAGTGTTTTGTTTTTTTAATTCAATTTAAAGAACGTCTCGGGTCAGAAACAGTTAAAAACAGCTTCAGTCTTTGACATCAGTCACGTGCTGACACTGTCCATCCCCAGCTCTCTGACAGGAAACACCAGTCAGCGCCACTTCCTGTCCTCCCATCAACCACACGGCTCCTCCAGATAGACTTGTTTTTCCTGAGTCAGTGGAAGTTGTGGCCTCGCAGAGATTTTTAAAATCCTTAAATAAATATGATTTATTAGTGAAAGTACAGACTTTTTTTAGTTTTTAGTTTTTTTGTCTAGTTTCTCTGAGCTCCTCTGTCCTTCTTTTCACCGCAGACATTTGTCAACGATGTCCGCATTCAGGAGCAGATGTACATCACTCTGAAGCTGGAGGACAAGCTGAGGTTTGGTTATGATATCCTTCTGCTGCTGTTTACTACACACACACACACACACGCGCGCACACACACACACACACACACACACAGTAAACATAAACAACCTGATGTCCAAACCGACTACCAGCTCATTTTCTTAACCTGACTGTGGAACATACCAACCTGTTCACCGTGGTGAGAGGAGAGCTGACTGTCCCTGAGGAGGCGCTGAAGGTACCACACACACTCCAAACACACACACACACGTCTTCACACACACAACACTCTGCTGAGTCCTTCCTGCTCTGTGTCCAGCATGAGAAGTTCACCAGTGGACTCCAGCTCAGCAAGAAACTCACCAACGGTGAGGCCACCACATCCACCACCAGGTCCCCCACGAAGACCTTCAAAAGACCTACACCCCAGCCTCCGGGTGACGGCTCACCGAGGCCAGCAGAGGGCAGAAGCGCAGATGGCATCCCCGTGTTCAAGGAGACGGACGTTAGACCTCTGGACCCTCACAGAGTGGAGGACAAGATAGGTGAGAGTCAGGGGGGACACACAGGAAATGCAGTTCACTGTCACCTGGAACAACAGCTCTCATGAGCGCCCACTGTGGTTCAAATATGTCACTGTTGTTTTGTGATCCTGTGGAAACAAAACTCCAGGGTGAGGTCTTCATCTGTGACCTATGACCTGACCTGTTTGTGCTTCATGTGTCTCAGCCGATTACACCGCACTGCCCCGTGGGACCCCTCTGTACGGGCAGCCATCTTGGTGGGGTGATGGTGACGCCGATGACGAGAACTCCTTCAAACAGGAGACCAAACCTAAGAAACACGACGGCTCCACTCCAGGTTTGACTGAGTAGATGTTTAGAACCTTTAATGTGTGTGTGTGTGTGTGTGTGCGATGATTGACGACATCTGTACAGAATAAATACGTGTTGAATAAATGTTTTAAACAGACAACAAAGACACACGAAGAGGAGAGAAGAACAAAGAGGACAGCCTTCCTGACTCCGCCTACTGCCACATCTTATCCAGCAGAGACAGTCACATGGTCAACGATGGCATCCATGAGATTCCAACTAAAGACATCGGGGGCAGTAATGTTCTCTCAAGCGCAGGTAAAAGTCAGCGGTTCGGTGGAGGACACTGACGGAAGTCCCTGAGGAACGTGGACATTCCAGTCGTTTTGATCAAACCATCTTTGAATGTGAAAACATTCCAATGATTCCAAGGCAGGAAAAATCCCATGATTCTTTTTTGTTTTTTGAATGTGAAAACATTCCAATGATTCCCATGATTCGTTTTTGTGATTTGGCTCCACAGCTCAAGGTCACGCTTCCTTCACCATAGAGTTTGACAACGCTGCTCCAGGAAAAGTCACCATCAAAGACCACGTGTCAAAGTTCACGGCTGAACACCACAGACCTCGCTCCAAAAAGAACGGCACAGGAAGTGGAGGTGCGGGAGGGAGGGACCTGAGCACGCTTCAGGCGGCCATGATGGCGTCCGAGAGCAAGGTGGCTGATTGGTTGGCTCAGAACGACCCCACCCTGGTGCGGAGTGAGTCGACAGAGGAGGACAGCAAGAGCATCAAAAGTGACGTGCCGGTGCATCTGAAGAGACTGAAGGGTGAGGAACCGGTTCCCACAGTACCAGGAGAGTACCAGGAGAGTACCAGGAGAGTACCAGGAGTGTACCATCTGAATGTAGTGCATTTATTTAACACTCCGATAACAACTGTGTCTGTACTGAGCCATACTGTCAGCTAGAGGGCAGCAGAGGGAGGATGTGGTGATAGAAAGGTGTGTCCTGTCTGTCATCGTTGGAGACACTGATGCTGCATCTGGGGGGACAAATGGCCTCTAGAGGGGGCAGTTTTTTTACCCTGTGCTCTGGTGGCTGCTGATCAAATAGTGAGGACAGCATACGAAGTAAGACAGAGAGAGACAGGGAGACAAATGTCAACGTCTGGACTGCAGCACAGGTGCAGCAGGAAGTTGTGGAGAGTCGTTTTTTGGAAGGTAGTTGTCATGGAAACAGATGGTCCAAGTAGTGATAGATGGAGGGTGTATTTAAAGGCTGTGTGTGTGTGTCACTTCACGGAGTGTGTGTGTGTGTTTGAGCACTGCATGTGCAGCAGTGTGTGTCAGTAGAGGCTGAGGTTCAGGGAGGAAGTGGATGAAGCACCGGGTGAGTTCTTTATTCCTTTAACGTTCCACTGATTCAGCTGCGTCCACACGGAGACGTCAGACGTCGACGGCCGCACTGACGATCATGTGATCACAGGTCAAACATTATAATACAGTTTGTACGGAGACTGTGGTCTGTTAGTGGAGGATCGATGACATCATCCTGCAGTAACTGACCTGGAATCAGAACTTAACAAAACTGCATCAAAACACAGTGAAAACCTCAAACATTTCACTGTTTATGTTTGAACAATAACTGATTTTGTGTGTGTGTGTGTGTGTGTGTGTGAATTGATCCACTGAGTGTCATGTTGGGGAGAGTGGAGAACAGCACTGACCTATCACTGACACCTCTGTTCTCCTCTGCCAACATTGTCTTTGTCACAAGGACAGTTGTGTGTGTGTGTGTGTGAATTGATCGACTGAGTGTCATGTTGGGGAGAGTGGAGAACAGCACTGACCTATCACTGACACCTCTGTTCTCCTCTGCCAACATTGTCTTTATCACAAGGACAGTTGTGTGTGTGGGGGGGAGGGCGAGGCAGGGGGAGAGAGAGAGAGACTAATAACTTGTCTGTCCACTGCTGACTTTCTCCTCCTGTACATAGACCACCCTGTGTGGACGGTAGAACCACAGGATTTGTTCAGTGTTTAAATAACACCTCACAGTCAGACAACACCGGGAAACGTCGTCGTCAGAACAGAATTCAACTGACGTCGCCGTTCTTTCCTCTCCGCCAGGAAGCAAACACGAGGACGGAACCCAGAGTGACTCTGAGAACGGACTGGGCCTGCGATTCGCCAACCGTCGCCATGCGCTGGAGGAGCGTCTGAAGGCAGCTCACAGCCAGTTAGCAGCGGCAGGAGACGGACCCGGAGCGGCCGGGGGGGTCGGGAAAGGTTCAGTGGGCGGAGCCAGAGCCACCAGCACTCGCACCGCCTTCATGATCGAGTTCTACGACGAGGAAAACCCTCGCAAGCGCCGGTCCTATTCATTTTCCCAGACTGCACCGCTGCTGGCAGAAGGAGCCGGCGGAGAAGGGGTGTGTCCCCAGCCTCCGTCTCACCCTAAGGTGTTCAGCATCTCCACCTCCGCTGCCTCGGAGCCAGGTATGAGTACGGGTTGTTCTAGAAGGTCTGACGTGAACAACCGTGTCTCAAGGATTCCTTCCAACCTAATATATTTTTTGATTTCTCTCTAAGGTAAAACTCCTGCCCCCATACCAGCTACAGTGACCGCCGGAGCTCCGACCGCTGCACGGGTGCTCCTCAAACAGAGGTCTGAGGACCAGAGTGTGGGCCGCAGCTCGATCAGCACGGGCCTCGCCACGGGAAGCCCCACCAGTGAAGACGCCTCAGTCCTGAGTAAAGGAAGAGAGAGAGCGGGCGTGACGGAAGAGGACGACCACAGCGATAAGGGAACCTACACCATAGAACTGGAGAACAGGAACCCAGAGGAGGAGGAGGCGCGGCGCATGATAGACAAGGTGAGGACGGGGGCGAAAAACACATGTACACCAGTGTGTGCAGTATTACTGGAAGTACAACTGCAAACACTGTAGATACTCACAGTGTCTGTGTCTCCTCCTGGTGTTTCTAGGTGTTTGGTGTTCAACCCAGCCAAAACCACACCTCCTCTGTTCTGTCCCAACAAAAAGAAGAAGTCGAAGGAAAGAAGAAAGACCAGACGGGACCGGAGGTAGAAAATGTTGATATACGTATACAGTACATACATATTCATATGTATATGTATATACATTTCAGTCCTTTCTGTGTCTCCAGGGTCTTACTGTGGACTCCAGCTGGGTCTCCCAGTGGGCCAGTCTGGCTGCTCACCACACCAGGACAGATCCAGAAGGTTCAGGAGCAGAAACGTCCAGCGTCCTGCTCAAAGAAGGAGGTGAGACATCTGTCCACTCACTCAGGTTTTAGGACTGATTCAGTTTGGTTTTTCAAGAACAATTAGTGATTGAAATTAAATAAAATTAAAAGATGAAAATGTTATGGCACATCCCCAGTACTGTACAGCAGGGGGCGCCCCACTTCACATTTTAAAACCCCTGTGTTTGTCATGACATCATGTCAGCGTGAACTCACTGTCACCACTCCTGATCTTCTCCTCCCGCCTGTGTTTGTCATGACATCATGTCAGCATGAACTCACTGTCCTGATCTTCTCCTCTCTCTCTTCAGGAGTTGATGGAGCGTCACTCAGCCGAGGTCAGTCCTGCTCCAGCCTGACCGACCGCAAGCGCAGGACCCTCCCCCAGCTCCCCGTGGAAGACCCTCGAGCTAAAGCCAGCGTCCCACCTTTCAGGTCTGAGATTGGGGAGAAACAAGACACTGAGCCCCAGGAAAAAGAGAACAAGGGGGACGGGGGGTCTCCAACTCCTGTGGGGGACACTGCAATGAGCGGCACGCCAAAACCAGGCTCCACCTCCTCTCCATCCAGGCCTCCTGCCAAGAGCAGCTCAGGGGAGAGGAGAAAGAGGTCAGTGGAGAGGAAGGGGGGAGGCAGGGGTGAAGAAGGAGGAGATAAGTGTGCCAAGCCTCTGGTGCGACAGGGCAGCTTCACGGTGGAGAAGCCCAGCACCAGTGTTCCTGCGGAGCTGATTCCACGCATCAACAAAGGCAGCGGTGGCCGTGAACGCAGCGACTCCGTGGGCAGCATGGACACGGCCACGCTCCTGAAGGACACCGAGGCCGTCATGGCCTTCCTGGAGGCCAAGCTGAGAGACCAGAACGACGCCGGGGGCACCAATCCAGACTCGGCCTCTCCCTTCAAACTGCCGAACAAC